AGGCCTAGGAACTCTAAATATTTAAAACCCAAACTATGGTAAAGAATGGAGTCTTCAGAATATCTACCACAGATTGGCCAGAAGATGCTGGGAGCCTCCCTGGTCTCTAAACCATCAAAGTTGGAGATTGCTGGGGAGAGCCAAGATGCTGATGAGAGAAAGGGAGCTTCTGGGTTCTGGGGAAAGTCCTGCAATTTCCTTTTCAGCTACTTTGAGAGTGAAGTAAAGTCAGTCAATAGCTCTTCGGGTAGACCCACAGTGGAAGAGCCCGGCGGACTTTGCCTTGTTCCTGGAATCGGGGTCAGAGCCAAAGCTGGACATTAACTAATTTAACTGGTTGTGGTGAAAAGCAAATACCAGGAAGAAGACAAAAAGACCCAGTGGCATCTCCTCTCGCAGTTTGTCTTCTGGGTCCTAACATGAGATTCAGGGTTAAGTAGAAGGCAGAGGTATGTACAACTATGTCAGCTCCAGTGTCTCCTTGAGGGCTCCTGACAAGTCATTTTCCCCTTGACATGTTTTTTCTTGTGCTGTTGCCAGGGCCTCAGTCAATTCCTTCTTCTGCCAAGAAATCGCAGGCAATTTCCCGTTTCTCAAGATGGTCATGGTGGGCCATACCTTTGATCCCAGCACTCGGAGGGCAGAAACAGGTGCATCTCTGAGTTCAAGGCCAGCCTGGAGTATACAGCAAGTTCCAGGACAGCCAGGGCTACACAGAAAAACCCTGTCTCAAAGAAAGAAAAGCCTTTCTGTGTACGAGGTTGGTGGGGTGACTGGACAGATGGTTCCTCAGTTAAGAGCACTTGCCATCAGAGGACTGGAGTTGAGTTCCCAATACCCATTTCAGTCCCCTGTCAGCAATCTGTATGTAATTCTAGCAAGGGAGATCCAACACCCTCTTCTGGATTCCATGGGAACTAGCAAGTGAGTGTGCATTCCCCTATACAGAAATAATTACATACACATAAATTTAAAAACTTAAAAAAAATCAAAACTTCTGCCAAGAGTTTACCACTGCCTCCAGGGAGAGGAGGGGCCTGTCACATGGTGTGTGTGTGTGGTCAAAGAACAACTAGATGCCTTTTCTTACTGAGCCATTTCTAGCCCAACCAGCTCCTTCCCCCCACCAAAAAAAGAACAGGGAATATTATTAACTCACTGTGACACTTGAGTTATGACCAAGAGCTTTATTGAGTTCTGTACAAAAATGAAAGTAGCTGAAGTGGAGTCTTCAATTTTTTGTTTGTTTGGTTTTTGTTTTTCAAGACAGGGTTTCTATGTAAAACAGCCCTAGCTGTCCTGGAACTCGCACTGCAGACCAGGCTGGCCTCAAACTCACTGAGAGTGCTGGGCTTAAAGGCATGGGCCAACACTCACCTCCCATCTAATTTTTTAAATTTAAGATTTAAGCCAGGCATGGTGGTGCACACCCTTGATCCCAGCACTCAGGAGCCAGAGGCAGGAGGATCTCAGTGAGTTTGAGGCTGTCATGGTCTACAAAGCAAGTTCCAAGATAGTGAGGGCTACACAGAGAAACTGTGCCTCCAAAACAAAACAAAAGACAAAAGATTTAGTTTTAGAGTGTGTTGCAGGTGTTTTGTGTGTGATATATATGTTCTAGTGCTTGAAGACAGAAGAGGGCATAGGGTCTCCTGGGAGGTCCTGGATCTCCTAGAGTTACAGGCAATTGTTAGCTTCTCTTGTGGATTCTGGGAACCAAATTCAGGTCCTCTGGAAGAATAAGCTCTGAGCTTTCTCAACCCCTCTGGGTAATGTTTAACTAAGCAGGTTTAAACAACTTGAGGACTCCATGGTAAAATATTAGGCTCTGAGGTATTTGGGGATTTGTGTGTGTGTGTGTGTGTGTGTGTGTGTGTGTGTGTGTGTGTGTGTGTTTGTTTGTTTGTTTTGGTTTTTAGAGATAGGGTTTCTCTGTGGCTTTGGAGGTTGTCCTGGAACTCACAGAGATCTGCCTGCCTCTGCCTCCTGAGTGCTGGTATACCAACAATGCCCAGCTGTGTGTGTTTTATTTTGTTGGGTGTAGGTTAGAGATAGTATTTAACTCTATAGCCCAAGCAGGAATTCCTCCTACTTAAGTCTGTCCAGCATGGGGATAACCCACCATTCCAACAGTATTTGAAAACTCCAAGCATCTTCTTATCGGAGAGGCTTCCTTGTCTTCCAGTCTCTAACTCTTTGGCTACCCCAGTACTTTCATATATCTACTTTACCGTATGAACTGACAAGGACAAGAATTTAGCCCATTTTTTAAAAAATGACATTTATTGGCACTGCATTTTTATTAATTTGGGAAGGAGTGATTTTTTTTTTTTTTTTTGGTTTTTCGAGACATGGTTTCTCTGTGGCTTTGGAGGCTGTCCTGGAACTCGCTCTGTAGTCCAGGCTGGTCTCGAACTCACAGAGATTTGCCTGCCTCTGCCTCCCAAGTGCTGGGATTAAAGGCGTGTGCCACCAACGCCCGGCTCCGGAAGGAGTGATTTTTTTAAATTAAATATGAATTTCAAATCTGGTGAAACAGTTCTCAGTTTGTTCAGGATAGACTTTAGGTCCATTAATAAGATTGGATCAAGTTTAGTAGTAGTGCATTCTTGTAATCCTGGCATTCTGAGGCAGGATGATTGCTCTCAGTTTGAGGTCAGCCTGTACTACATACTGGGTTCAGGGCTAGCCTGGACTACATATGGGCCACTTTGTCTCAAACAAACAAACAAACTTAGCCAGGCATAGTGGCACGCACACTTAATTCCAACACTCCGGGAGCCAAGGCAGTAGAAACTTTGTGAGTTTGGTGTCAAACTACTCTACATAGTGAGTTCCAGGCCAGCCAGGGCTTTAAAGCACAACAAAATCTCAAAAAGAAATGGAAAAGCCACCTGGCATTTATTTTGCACACCTGTCAGACCAGCACTAGGGAGGTGGAAACAAGAAAATCAGGAGTCAGAGAATCAGGAATTCCGGTCATCTTCAGGTACATATGAGGCCTTGTGTCAAAAACAAGCATACAGACAGGTGGTGGTGGTGCATGCAATCCCAGCACTTGGGAATCAGAGGCAGGCAGGTCTCTGTGAGTTCGAGACCAGCCTGGTCTATAAGAGCGAGTTCTAGGACAGCCTCCAAAGCCACAAAGAAACTATGCTTCAAAAAAACAAACAAACAAAAAAAGCAAGCAAACAAACAAAAAAGAACCATTCAAACAACAACAACAAAACTTAAAAAAAAAAGGTTGGGGTGATGATACACTTTCAATCCTAGCACTAGGAAAACAAAGGCAGGTACTTTCAATGAATTTTAGGCCAGCCAGGTCTACATAGCAAGTTCCACGCCAACTATGGCCAGCTAGGGCCAGGGTGACGGGCATTAGTGGAACAGTAAGGACCAGCATTTGGGAGATAGAGATGAGGAGATGAGGATCAGAATTTCAAGATCATCTCAACTATAACTCTGAGGCCAGTCAAAGCTACATGAGACCCTGTTTCAAATAAGAGAATTTTTACATCCTCTACACCATTTTATTTTTGGTATTTTATACTGTTTTGTTGTCCTTTTTTCTTTTCAAGACAGGATTTCTGTGTGTAACAATCCTGGCTGGCCAGGAATTCTCTATGTCTACCAGACTAGCCTTGAGCTACAGAAATCTGCCTGTCTCTGCCTTCCAGATACTGGGATCAAAGGTGTGTGCCACCACTAGCCAGTATTTTGTAGTCTTTTTTTGTTTGTTTTTCCGAGACAGGGTTTCTGTGTATTGTTTTAGAGGCTGTCCTGGAACTCTCTCTGTAGACTAGGCTGGCTCAAACTCACAGAGATCCACCTGCCTCTGTCTCCCGAGTGCTAGGAATAAAGGCGTGCGGCACCAATACCCGGCTCAGTTTCTACTTTTTGAGGACTGGGTTTACAGGTATGGTTCAGTTCCCAGCACCTACCTGGTGACCTTCTGTAACTCCAATTCCAAGGACTTGAACTCCTTGCTCTGGCCCCTGCAGGCCCGGAGTATGCAAGTGGTGTACTGACATACATGCAGGCGAAGCCCTCATATGCATAAAATTAAAAGTCATAAAAGCAAAAGTTAAAAGTCTTTAAAAGATAGTGTAGCATTTTAAATATCTTGGTACTATAGGGTGTGTCATCTACTTACAGAACTGCCAGTTATCATCCCTTCAGCACCACTAAAGTGACAGCCATATAGGACTTCTGTAAGGCACAAACCTATAGAGATGATTTTTTGAAATTTTGTTATTTGGTTATTCAAGACAGGGTTTCTCTGTGTGTAGCTCTAGGTATCCTGGAACTCCCTCTATAGACAAGGCTGGCCTCAAACTCACAGAGATCCACACATGCCTCTGACTCTTGAGTACTGGGGTTAAAGGCTTGTGCCAGCAACACTTGGCCTGATAGATCGATCTTTTTTTTTTTTTTTTTATCTTTTTGGTTTTTCGAGACAGGGTTTCTCTGTGGCTTTGGAGGCTGTCCTGAAACTCGCTCTGTAGACCAGGCTGGCCTTGAACTCACAGAGATCTGCCTGCCTCTGCCTCAAAAGTGCTGGGATTAAAGGCGTGCGCCACCAACGCCCGGCTCCCTGATAGATCGATCTTAAAGCCCCTTTCAACACTATTATATTGTAATACTAATCTCTGAGGGAAATGTTCACTGATGCCCAGATATTACTTCACAGTGTAGAGTTATTGCTGATATTCAGGACATAGTCCAACATGCATATCATATATTCAGAACATAGTCCAACACGCATATCATAGGCCCCTTTCATCACCCTAAGTCTAAGTAGACATAGACCATGCCTGTTAGCATGTGGTAGATAAAGACAGAATCAAGCATTCAAGGCCGGCCTTGGCTACTTAGTGAGTTCTAGGTCAGCCCTTGCCTCAAATAGACAAACAAACAAACAAACAAATAATTGCCCTAAAGAAGATAGTTGTCAGTGTTAGAGTCATTTTTAACAACTACCAACTCCTGTTTAATTACAGATCATCTTTAGATGGTGGAAGATTTCTTTGAGAAGCGAGTATCGGTCAGCAAAACCCGGAGAGACAAAGGAAACCTATGAAGATTTTCTAGAGAACTCTCATCTTCAAGGTGAGAGAGGCAGTCGCATCCGAGCACATGTGGCAGAGATGGGTCACAGACTTCATACTTGTATAATTACGGTCTTAGAATAATAGGCTGGAGTGGGGCAGTGGTCTCAGCACTAGGGAGGCAGAGGCAGGCAGATTTATGTGAGTTCTAGGCCAGCCTGGTGTACAGAGTCAGTTCCAGGATAGCCAGGGCAACACCGAGAAACCCTGTGGGGGGAGGGAGAGACAAAAGAATGAATGGAATGTTGGATTTGAGTTCTACTTTTGAGGACTGAAGAGATGGCTTAGTGGTTAAGAGTGTGCACTGCTCTTGCAGAGGACCTGAGTTCAGTTGCCAGCACCCATGGGAGGAGGGCTTACAACTTCCTGCAACTCTAGCTCCATGGAATCTAGTGACCTCTTTTGGTGACTGTGAGAAACTGCACACACCCACACCCACATAATAAAAATACAATAAATCTTTGTTTTTTCTAGACAGGGTTTCTCTGTATAGCCCTGGCTGGCCTTGAACTCACAGAAATCCAGCTGCTTCTGTCTCCCAAGTGCTGGGATCAAAGGCATGAACCACCACTGCCCAGCTAAAATAAATCTTTTAAAATCTCTTTAGAGGCTGGGCAGTGATATCCTATGCCTTTAATCCCAGCACTCAGGAGGCAGAGGCGGGTGAATCTCTGTGAGTTTGAGACCAGCCTGGTCTTCTAGAGCTAGTTCCAGGACAGCCACTGAAGCCACAGAGATACCCTGTCTCAAAAAACAAAAAACAAACAAACAAAAATAATTTTTTGAGATACGGTCTCATGCCTCTTAGTGTTGTATTATTGTCTGGGGAGGTGTAAACAAATATCTTTTGCCCCAGACAGGATAACAATAACAGACCAAAGATGTGATTCCACCCAAGGACAGTGAATATACTGGGGTTAGTCATGGGCATATGGTGACTCAGAGACAGCCGTGTCATTGAAACGCACAGCCCTGAGTGGCTGATGACTCACAAAGGCTGTGTCCCTATCTACCTTACAGGCAGCTCAGTGTTACTCATCTCGATCCTCTTGGAGATCCATGCAAAAGGGCTTTCTCCCTCAGCGGGAGAGAGAAACAGAGAGGATGCTCATGGCTACACATAGCAGGTCTCAGAGGTCATTCAGCCAACTGGAGTCTTAGTGCTGCCACTAGCCAGCTGGTGTGACCACAGTGACAGCTCATCCCCTTTGGGAGTCAGTTTCTCATGTGCTGGGCTGGGATAATCATGGTTACTTTATTCAGTCATCTTGAGCCTTCCTTGACTTGCTCCGTATTATATAATCAGCTCTTAATTATTGTTTGCTGTATTGTTAAGCAGACAGCGTTGGACTGGACTTATTTTTCTGTCTCCCTCTTGGTCTTCTCCCTAAACCCCCTACAAGATTTTCTCATGCAGAGATCCTGGCAGAGGATCCAAGCATGTCATTCTTGCTGCCTGGACCTCTCAGTACTTAGCAAGGAGGTGGTGTTTTCTGTCATTTGACTTCATTCTTCATTCCTGGTTCCTTTCCCTCATGGGCTCCTCAGTCTTCAAATCATGAAGATGGGACTGGGAATTCAAACCTGTGTCTTTCTCTTGTCTGTTTATAATTATGCCCTGGAGAATCTGGTTCAATGTCTAGCTTGCAGTGCCATCCATAAGGGCTGGAGAGATGACTCCGTGATGAGGAGCACATCCTGCCCACGCAGAGGACCCAAGTTCAGTTCCCTGCACTTATGTCAGATGGTTCACACCTTCCTGTAACTCTGATTACACGGGATCCAATTCCTGCTTCTGGTTCCATGGGCAGGCACGCAAGCAGGCATGCTCGCACGCACTCACGCAGGCAGGCACGCACACCTCTACCTCTTTCTGGCCTGCCTTGTCTGGTTTGGTCTTGATGTGATGTTTATACATGGTGTTATTGTATCATATTGTGCCCTGTTTGGTTGATGTTCCTGGGAGGCCTGCTCTTTTCTGAGGGGAGACTGAGGGGACATGGATATGATGAGGGAGGGAGGGGATGGCGGGAGAGAGACAAGGGGAGCTGGTTGTGGTGGCGCACACCCGTAGGACTTGCTGAAGGAGGCAGAGGCAGGAGGATCACGAGTTTGAGGCCAGCCTGGGCTACACATTTCCTGACAGCCTCCAAAACAATACAGAGAAACCCTGTCTCATAAAAAAAAAGAGAGAGAGAGAGAGAGAGACAAGGGGAAGGGTAGGGAAGGGAAACTGTGGTCAGGATGTAAAATATGAGAAAATAATAAATAGGGGGGTAAGTCCTAAGTTAGTGTCTCTCATCTGCCCTTCTCTAAATAACATGATCAGTTCACGTGACTATCTGCTATACCTCCAGTGTATCCAATATAGCTTCAATAGTGGGTTCACTGGGCAAAGGTGCATGTTGCCAATCTTTTTTTTTTTTTTCCAGACAGGGTTTCTCTGTGAAACAGCCCTAACTCCTGACTGTCCTGGAACTCACTCTGTAGACCAAGCTGACCTTGAACTCACAAAGATCTGTCTGACTCTGCCTCCTGAATACTGGCCTTAAAGTTGTGCTCTCCACCCCAGCCCCCGAGCCAGGAACTTTCTTGAAGGCAGATCTCCCAGCTCTTTCAAGCTCTTAAATGACACAGTGACACAGTCCCAATCCCAACCTCAGGAAACCCTGTTTCAAAAATAAACAAACACAAAAGAGATATTTTTCTGCGATGTCTCCCCTGGCGTGCCCATCATCCCATCATTCAGTCTGTGCAGACACTGCCTCATTAGCCAGGGCTGCCTTGAGCCACTAGACAGAAAATCACAGCCTTTCTCTGGAACACCATGTTTTCCACAAACTCATTGTCAAGTGAGACACTGTGCATTCAGCCATTTGTCTCTTGTCTCCTTTATTGTGGTAGGAACTTTCCTTGTTGATGGGTCTTTTGGTACCACTTAGAACAATGGCTGGTACACAGCTCAGTAAATAAATTATCCTGTGAATTATTGAAGAAAATTCTTGTTCTTTTCCTTTTTCTTTTTCTTTATGTGGGAAGGAAGTTTATTGGAAAGGGAAGGGAGAGAAGGGACAGAAAGAGAGAGACAGAGAGACAGTGACCTGCCTTCCTCAGAGAAACGGCAGAAAGAGTGAAAATTCTTTTTCTTCTTTTTTCTTTTTTGGCTGGGTATCTGTATGTAGCCTTGGCTGTCCTGAAACTTACTATGTGGATCAGGTTGCTCCTAAGTTCTTGGATTAAAGAACATTTCTGGCCTTATTTGTTTTTTAGAACTCATTGCTTTATTTTGAATTGTATGTTTATGTCTGTGTGTGGGTTTATGTATGTACAAGTACAAGCATCACCATAGTCTAGAATAGGCCTTCTGATCTCCTGATGGTTGATTGTGTGGTCTTTTGAAATATATCAACTTAAGAGACACTGGCCTCCACCAACCAACTAGGAATGTCCTCAGATAGCTTTTGAGGTGTATAGCAGACTTTGCTAGCCCCTCTACCACCACACCTTGCTGACATTCCCACCAGTGTATTTGAAAAACATCTTGATGACTGGGCAGTGGTGGCACATGCCTTTCATCCAAGCACTTTGGGGGTAGAGGCAGGTGGATTTATGTGAGTTGGAGGCTAGCCTGGCCTACAGAGTGAGTTTCAGGACAGGCTCCAAAGCTAAACAGAAAAACACTGTCTGGAAAAACAAAAACAACAAAAAACAAAAACAAAAAACACCTTGATCTATGACTCCCTATGACTCCTGTTACTCTAAAAACTTAATGAAAATGTTATGTTAGAACACAGAATATCTGTCTTCTCTCAATGTGTTCAGTTCTGTTTGCTCCAGAATAAACTCTGACCTCCTTTGAGGTTGGAGTTGTGGTTTTGCAATAAGAGATGTTCCTAAAGGGGACATCAGTGGCTCTGTCCCTGCATCCTGAGAACTGAGTAAGATGTGTGTTACTGGAGAATCTGAGTTCCTCTTGGTGGGCTTAGTCTCAGTGATAAAGTTTAAAAACTGGAGAAACTCAAGGATCATTTTATTACAGTTTGAGAGAAAAATCACAAGGCAGAAAAGCTGTAAATCCTGGCAATGGCCAGGAGGAGAGAAATGGAGAAATCAGAGTTTGAATTAGGTTTCAGTAAAGCTGGGGTGGGGGTCGGGGGAATGGCTCGGCTGTTAAGAGCACTGGCTACTCTTCCAGAGAACCTGGCTTTGATTACCAGTACCCACAAGATTGTTTAAAACCCTCTGTAACTCCAATTACAGGGGACCTGATGCCATCTTCTGGCCTCTGTGGGCACTGCATGCACATGGTAGAGACATACATAAAAATTTAAAAAGAAAGTGAGTGTGCTGGCACATGGCTTTAGTTCCAGGGAGGCAGAGGCAGGCAGATCTTTGTAGCATGGGCTACAAATTGAGTTCCCAGGCAGCCAGGGGTTCACAGAGAAACCATCTCCAAAAACAGAGAGAGAGGGAGGGAGGGAGGGAAAGGTAAAGGGAAGGGAAGGAAGGAAGAGAAAAGAAAAAGGCAGGCAGCTTCAGCAGTGGCGGTCTGCAAGCGGTTGTAGAACTGAGTGAGAAGAACTCATGTGTCAGGGCAAACATGCTTAGTGTCGGAAAAAAGAGTACACTTCTGGTTAGAACTCGGACACATGGGGAGGCTTAGGGTGATGAGTCAGCTAGCAGCTGCTGTGAAGGAAGATGCTCCTGGGGATACATTGTCTCACTAAAAGACTGCATGGTTTCTGATGTGGGGGGTTGGCTTCTTCTAGACTGGTGAATGACAGCTCAGTTGGATTAGCTCTTTTTTTTTTTTAAAGATTTTATTTATTTATTATGAATACAACATCCTGCCTCTACATATGTCTGCACGCCGGGAGAGGGCACCAGATCTCATTACAGATGGTTGTGAGCCACCATGTGGTTGCTGGGAATTGAACTCAGGACCTCTGGAAGAGCAGTCAGTACTCTTAACCACTGAGCCATCTCTCCAGCCCCTGGATT